ACTACGCGACATTCATGATAGGCTCTGCCATATTCCTGTAACTGTTATTTCATAATAAAATAGGGAATGTAAGACGTGCGTATACAACTACACATTGCATTTACGAAAAGTGTGACTTACAGTAGGCAGCATGACTTTATTTGCTCCAGCTATGGATAACCTTGTTTCTAATTGATAATTGTTAACGCCGTTATGATGGTCCTGATAGAAATTAATAGACAATGTAAGATCACTCAGAGGATGTTCCAAAGCATTGCACACTCCCACACCAACGCTGATGCATTCACCCAAAGCACACGACAGTTCTTCTTGTGCTTTTACAATAATATCGTTGATAGTTATTTCTGGAAAATGTTAGTAATTTTAAGTACACATACTTTATTATACACATACTTATAGTAAACAGTATTTACGCACCCCATTGTAGAGGACTCATTCTCACTAGATCCAACATATCTTGAGTTAGAGTAATACCAGAGAGAGTAGCTTTCCCTGTCGATTCAGTGCCTAATAATTGCCAGCGCAGATCAACCAATGAAGCTATATGTTCGGCACATATTTTTTGGAGTTCACTTGTATCACCAGCACCATTTAACTATAAGCGCAAAATAATAAAATAGTATGTCTTACATTACGTTTCAGTATGTCTTTAAATAGGCGATATTTCCATTATTACCATAGATAATTTATTAAGTGGACATCGGTCAACTGGAACAGGAATTCTGCATGGTTCTTTACCTTCCATATATATACATTTATTTTGCGTATAGTGTAATTCCATTTCATGATTCGTCATATTTGATACGTCCAACACAAGATAAAATTGCACTGGTCTAAAAATTGTCAGGGAGAAAATATTTATAGACAAAATATATATTTTATATATATATATAAAATATAAATTATAGAAATAAATTATTTTATACGAAACATTGCGTTTTTTTTGTAACTTACGTTTCAGCCGGCAATACATCCCAGTTAGTAATCTGTACACTAGGTAGCATCTCAATGGTTATAAAAACAGATGAAACTCTGCAATAACCATTTATTAAGCCTGCACCTCCTGAGTATTTAATTCTTAATTGACCTTCAATAATGTTAGATGCATGTAAAGGTACTGCAAGTTTCGACAATCGCGTGCTTGCTAAGGAAGAATGACCAGAATGTGAACTTATTCCTGATCTAAAAGAAGAAGTCAGCTCGGATTGTCTTTTCGTATGATGAGACGGAGAACTAAGCCTAGATGGTAAAGAACTATAGCCTGAATGTGACAAACTGCTTGGTTGACTAAGGCAGGTACTGCTAGTAACATCTGAAAAGTTTTTGAGAAAAAAATAGAAGGCACTAAATTAAAAAAATTGTGCTACTATACACGCACGTACGCGCGCGCGCGCGCGCACACACACAAAATATAATTAATTATATTACCATTTCTAATTGAAGGTGCTATAAAATCCGTTGCTGCATATAGATATAAGGTAAGACTTGCACTACTGCCAGGTTGTAAAGGCAACTGTGTCATCAGATTCTCATCACTCCATTTAAAAATTTTACTTTCAGTTAGAGCATCCAAAGCAGACTGTACTGATAACTCAATCATTTCAATAGGAACTTGCCCAGCATTTGTTATTGTCACGGTACATTCAGCGCTGTAAATGTAAGCGAAATCATTTTGCATAAAAATTATATATTGATCAAAAAAAATTATATAGTGCTTATAGTAGACACAAACCTCTCACCGCCATAGAGTGATATACTTGCGCTAGTAACTATATTGTCACCAGAACTGAAACTGGCAGTTTGAGGCAAACTAGTCGCGACATCGATTCTTGGTAAGGCTGGAATGACTTCGACAGTATATTGAGGATGTAACATACCCTCCATGTATCTCAATCTACAGTTAGATTTAACTCCTAATGTGTGAGTGCTAAATCCAAGTAATTCTAAATCTCCAACTTCCTTAGGTCTACCTGCTAACGTAACCGCAATCGGACCAGATTCAGCAGGCAGATTAATACTCTCTGGTATCGATTCAAATACTATGCCATTTGTCAAAAGTCTCATGTTAGATACGTGTAATTCAAATGGTAAAGGATTTATGAGCTGCATTGACACTTCACAGATATCTCCTTCCACCCACAAATAATCTGTTATAACAAAAAATTTATTCTTAGAGATATTAAACTATTAATAGTAATAATCAACGTTTTGCTATACACGTACCAACTTTACTCTTTGAAGTATTCTTGCGCTCTAGTGACCCGAAGTTAATTGGCGTAAATAAAAATGGACCATGATCTTCTTTTACTCTTTCTATTTTTTGAGGCTGTAAGTGTGGCTGCATGTTTTTCAAAGTAAACAATTTTGTTTTTGGTATATTTAATAAATTAGCCGGTGGTATGACGGTACCAGAATCTAAAACCTGTCACAAAAGACATTATTTTATATATGCGAGACACATATAATTATACATTATAATTTTTTTTTTAACATACTAGGGGGACTGGTGCACCCTCGCACTGTTGAGATACATTTTGTAATTGTAGTGCAATATCTTTCCGTTCGGTAAGCGTTAGATGATTGTACATTGTCTGGAGCAAAAACGTTAAATGTCTTGTAGCAAGTGCCGGATTACCCATTCGATTTGCAGCAGCAACAAGTTCATTTATTATTTGGATCTGTATGGCTGGCCATCCTCTTTGTCCATCTATAAGAAAACAATATAATTTTAAATATCACAAAACAATCGAAACAAAAAATAAAATAATATTAGAAAGTATTTCATTAACATTATTTGGAAAAAAATTTAACATACATTTATATATTTATTTAAAAAAATATGTATTGTAAAAAAGTAAACAGGAAAATATAAAATATAAAATTATATGAATTTATATCAAATCATTGCAGTTACCTGGTGGCATATCAACAGGATCTAAAGATAATTTAAATCCAGATGTAGCTTGCAACATCAAATTATAACATTGTTGCCAGTCCGGATTAGGATTATTTTGGGATACATGACGAGTGGCGGCCAATCGTAAACAGAATGACGCTTTTCTATCAAAACCAAAGCTCGTATATAGATTTGATAATGTAGTAAATCGATCAATCTGAAATATTGATTTATATAGCACCTTGATAAGTTTTATATGTTGAAATTTCCTGCGTTATCTTAATATTACATACTTTTTCTTGCTCGCTGAGAGGCAAATTAATCAATACAACATTATTTAAATATGATGCAGCTTGTAAGGTGCAGTTCTGTTCTATTGAGATTCTTGTAGCTTTGAAACTAGCTTCAGTTTCAATTATACCTGCGTATTGGTATTTACTATAATGTACTATAGCGTCACGATATTTCTTAGATATTTCCTCAGGTAGTAAAATATGTGGCATGCTGGCCTTTACCACGTCTATACTAGGTGGAGCTGGTAAAACTGTAAGAGCTTGTGATCCTCGTCTATAAAATGATAAATGATTAATTCATTAATTTCGATATTCTTAAACCAGATCTTCTAATAAAAGCATAGATGCTTTAACATTTTAACTATATATATAATAACTTATAAAAAAAGATCATTTTGTTTTGTATTATATAATTCTTTGATCAGAAATTATTCATACCTCTGCTTACTTGGACTTCCCTCTTGTAAGGAAGAATTTCTTTGCAATGGAAGACTTCGACACATATTAGGATAAAGAACCAAGACCGAAGCAGCACAGAGACCTTCATATGCTGCTCCTAGCCACAGCCAGTCGTTGACAGCCTGCAGAATGTTGGCTGCAGAATTATAATTATTCAGGGCATCAGCTGGAAGTCCAGCTTGAAGACACAGATCTCCCAAATGCTTTGTCATACGGCCCACACATCTTTTTTTATTATTTCTGGATTCGAGGTCTAACCCAATAAAATCTTTCTTTTCAAATGGAGCTAACAGAAGAGAGACACGATCTATCTTCTCTCTGGATCGCTCTAATCTTTTCGATTCCAGGATCCAGAATAGAAAATTGAGATACTCAGCTGTTTGTGTCTCGAGATCAGGACATGCTTCATCTGTATAGAATATCGCCCGCGTTTTGAAGTTGCTGGGCGTAGTATAGCCTGGTGGCGGTTCATGACGGCCGTTTGATTCAAGGGAACCAAAGAGGATGGCTCGTGAATCATACAGGGTACTGCTGTACTTCACCTTCAGAGTCTCGTGTAATCTGCACAGCTCATTCAACTCCGTCTGATTGTCATACTTGCCAAATGTGATCAAACCTAGGAGTCTCCTATGTGTCTGAAAATCTCCCCAGTCATTGTTTTCCACGGGATGTTCCCTGACGAATCGGGCGAGGATCTCTCGGGTGCCACCGCTGGAGTCGGATACGGAAAACCTGCTGCCAGCTTTGACGATCCGCTCACATAACCTACTGACCGTCTTCGGTTTGATCTGCGTGCCGACTGGCCTCAGCAGCAGCAGCAGGGCGGCGTGATCGTGGGCGGTCTGCTCGTAATCGGGATGGGACATCTTGTTGTCGGGCACCGGACTCGACAGGATAACGCTGATAGCCGAGCGCATTTATGTCATTGATTTGTTCGAAGGTATACCTTACAATTAATACCTAGACCACACTCTTCAGTCCGATCACAGATCCTGTCATTTTTCCACGTTGTCGTCGGGTAGGGCGAGAACGAGAACACGCCGTGTTTCAAACTTGTAGTATGAAAATAAGATTTGTTCATAACAACATTGACAGTTTGTCACATTGGCGGCAAGCTTGATGGAGTATAGTAAGTAGACAACAGAGATGAGGTGAGGAGGCATTCGTAGACATAGCACGGAATAGAACCAAACAACGTAGGTAACACAGGACGAGTCGAAGTCCGTCGATGTGTTATCAGCCGAAAATATTTGCCAGTACATTTGTGAGTAGTTCCAATTACACTTTATGTACATGGAGGCGCTAGCATTCTCTTTAAAGTTTGATTTGCACGTGGGTCGTGGGATGTGGACACAAAACTGCAATTTGGTTTCTTTGATGTAATTCTTAATTTAGATGAGATAAATAATGTATTGATTTTTATTTACGTGCGTCAAGACAATCCATTAGAATGAAGAACAAGCCAATCCGCCATAAAGAAGTGAATGTCTTTCGGGTGAGTAAAGTCGACAGAGAGCGTAAGGTTAAGTTATTCGCATGTGGCTCTGGAACCGGCTTTTCTTCCGCAGTTCAAGCCATTCTCCGAGAGGATAACGGAAATCGACGTCGATGTCTTTCACCGTGTAACACATCGGAATGAGGACGAGGCCGAGGAGATTGAGACTTATTTTCACGAGACACTACTGAAATGGAACGTACTCAACCTAACGGACGGTTACACCGCCTTCAGAAAGGAAGTGCGAGACATCATCACGTTGCCCCAATTGCTTCACAAGAAGCAGCATGTGATCGATACGCTTATGTTGTATCTGAGGAAACGAGATCCTTTGTTCCTGCAACCGATCCTGGAGTAAGTAGCATACCGAAGGTCTGTTCTTTCAGTTGAATTTCTTGTACAGTTTATCTTTCCTCCTTTTCTCTTCACGGAGAAAAAAAGAAAAAAGCTGAAGAAGTTTGGTACAAAAAGTTCAGGCTTCTTATGATTGAAATTAGATAAAAATTATAAAAGTAAGTTTACTGAATGTTGAGTGAAGTTATAAATGTACTCACTTTTGTAATTTTCACCTTGTTTCAAAAACTGTAACAGATTCTTAATTAAAAAGAACAGACCTAGATACATATGGATAAATGCATGAACAGATTGTTTTGTTATTATTTCTATTCTCGGTTTCTTATAGATTAATAATTGCTGTAGCGAGAGATCTTCAGAAAGAGTTTTACGATTATTTCCCAGAATTTCTATCCGAAATAATCTGCTTGCTGCAAACGAAAGACGCTGAACAGATAGAGTATACATTTACCACTTTGGCATATTTGTTTAAATTTCTATGGCGATATTTGACAAGAAATATAAAAACTGTGATGCCCCTGTTGCTACCATTGTTAGCTGACACACAGCCAGTTTATATAAACAGGTTTGCTGCCGAAAGTTTTGCATTTGTAGTTCGCAAGATCAAGGATAAAGATTCTTTTCTGAAACTGGTATTACATATTTTGGAGGATAGAAATAAAAATGCCAAGGAAAATGGAATATCGGGTTGTGCAAAATTATTGTTTGAAGTTATATCTGGTACTCCAGGGCAGTTCCATTCCTGCGGCGAACAGATGTTACTGTTTTATTTCAACGCTCTGCAAGACGAGACCATTGATAAAACGCTTACTTACGAAGTACTACGGGAAATTATAACGTGTATATTGCAAAACATACATCCACAAAAATGCAATATCATGTGGAATGTTATACTAAAAATAATAGACACGTTTGTTGAAAAGTCAAAACAGTTGTTAAAATTCTCTGAGAAGAAACACACTTTAGTTCTATTCCTGCGTCTTATACATAGTATTATCAGCTGTAAAAATGGAAGGTTCTTAATTGACGCTGTATCTGTGATAAAAAGGTTCACCATCATGATGGACAGATTGAATGAAGATAATAATATTTTGCAAGAAGTTATCAATGTATCCGTAGCTATTCTCTTGGCATCCAACGTCAAGTTAATGCAGGAGGACTCGAGTCAATTAGTACTGAAAATTTTGACGGTGAATGACATGGAATTATTATACTCCTCTGTTGAAAATTTAATACACTACTCTTCGTTCGAAGTTTTGGTATTGCCTTATGTAATGCAACGCAGTATATCTATTGGATTTGACAATAAGCTACTGCTTCTGCTTGCTAAAGTAATTCTCACGAAAGCAACACCCTGTTTCAGTGGTATAACTTTGGACAAATGGAGAAAATACATTTTAGATATACGAAATATTGAAATTGATTACCTCTTACTAGAATTGAAAACATTATCTACTGATACTGTTTCGCTTGATGCACTGAGAATTTTGGTAATTTTACCACATTTGAACCCGTTGCATGAGGAACTTATGAATATGTTGAAAAATGGCTTGTTATTTTTATATAAAAAGATATTGAATGGTGATGCAGATGGCACTGCGGACATTAATAAAACCGCTTTTATATTTTTATTAACGCTGGAATCGTTAATCCATGTGTCAGAGCCAAGCATTCTCCACGAGTTTTTAATAAAATCTGATATAAAAATAGTTGATTTAATTAACAAACATTATGACAATACATATATCTTAAATGCGATAGATCTCTGTATGACGTATTTTGCTGCGTCGCAGCATCACTCAGATTATATAAATTTAGCGTTGTTTAACAAATTAAACGACAAAATAGAGAAGAAATTTAGTTCACCTTATAGCAATATTCGAATGATCGTGGCACACTTATATTCCTTATTTTCTAAAGTCGAAGATCTGAAAAGACCTGGTGAACCTCTTAAGATGTCTGATGGAAAAAGTGCTATGGAGCTTGTATATTTAGTGGAATCTGAATCCGTGACGATACAAAACTATCGGAGTAAGTTATTACATTTGCAAGCTTTAGGATTTCAGAGTCATGCGATAGCTAATTTAAATCCTAAGTATTACGAATTTCCGTTACGTTGCTTGATGGGCAATTTGTACATAAATTTTTCTCTGCTTTGGCAACCTGTGAGTCTAATTATAGCTAGTTATGGCAACAAGGAATGCCCACAGTTCTGGCCAACATTTCTGTCCGAGTTAACATGTAACAAAGTACCGAAGATTGAACGGAAACCGTCGTTTGATTGCTATGTGATTTCGTCGTTGGAGATGTTGATAGAAAAACACGATGATAAGCCTGATTTTGAAAATTATAGGATCCTCCTCTGGAAATGTATGGCACATTTCTCACATTACGCCGAGACGAAAAATAGAGATTTAACCGGATTATTCATTGATTTCGTAAATGCAAATTTTTTTAGATCTAATTCCGACGAGGGCAAATATTGCAATGTTGAAAAACGTAAGGAATTAATCGACGCAGATAATACGGACGACGAGAACGAAAGTGATGAAGAGCGTGATGAGATAAAAGTTGCGCAAGTGGATGTGATGAAAAAAAATTACAAGGTGAAACTTTTACTCGCTCAGATGGAGATATTCGATAAAGTGCAGAATCCGAAAATGATGCATAGAGAAGCGGAGATGCATCAAATCTATCTAGACTTGATTTCTTCGAGAAATCTCGACATACAGAGAGCCGCTCTGAATTGTCTCTTTGCATACAAGTACAAGTACCTTTTGCCATACAAGGAGTCCTTGTATGGTCTAATAAATGAGAAGAATTATAAGAGTGAACTCACGCGTTTCAAGCTGGACCGGGAAAGCAATATGATAGAAGAAGAACATCGCGAAAATCTCATGCCGATCATAATGAAAATTATTTACGCCAAAATGATTATGAAGACCGGCATGAGGACCGGTGGAAAAACCGGTGGATTTACACGGAGAAAAATCATATTGCGCTTTCTAGGCGGTGTACAAGAGGACGAGATGATCATATTCATAAAAATGGCATTCAGACCTTTCAAGTCATATGTATCTCTGGAAATGGATGAGACATTCGATTTGAAAAAATATGCTGAGACCATCATCGATACCATCGATCTGAATAACGTTATGCCACCTAAACGTATGCAGAGTGCCGTGAATCTATTGGCGATAGTAATAGAACAATTTGGCGGGAAAATGTCGAAGAAGTTACTGCCCTGTTTGCTCAGGATACTAATCTGCATCTTGGCTGAGGTGAATGGAATTCTCCGGAGATCGGGGGAGGTTTACCCGGGATACTTGTCAATGATCAAGAATGTGAGGACAAGTTGCGTCGGTATACTGGCTAGATTCTTTACACACTTTGAGAACTATGACTGGAAACGACACGAGATGGACGCAGTCTATCACGTCGCGATATTTCCCTTGTTGCAGAAATTGCCTATCGAGGGTATACACAGTCCTACGGCTTTGCTGAAGCTGTTTATGGCATGGAGCCAGAACTCGCGATACTATCCGTTGTTTGCCAAGTATCAGGAGGACAACAAGTCGATCACTCCTCTCCCTTACATCGTGCAACTCCTGTCGAATCCCAAGACACACCAATCCGTCATCAATGCCATTCTGGAGATGATCGAGAAGATGCTGACTCTGCAGGATTACGGAAAATCCAACGAAGACGCGATGCAGGTGGACGCGCAGTTTCTACCGTTAACTCCGATACTCACTAATATGCTCGAAGTGGAAGAGAAGATACTTTCAAACGGGGTCAATTACGGCTCCGCTATACTTCTGCCGCACGTTCCTCACGTTCTGGAATTTATCAGAGATAGACTTAGAAGGTCCAATAAGAATATAAATAAGATCGAGCTGACCATACTGTCGCGAATCTCCGAATTTGTCACGGATGCCGAGACGTGCGATATAGTATTGAAGTTGATAATACCAGTGTTAATCAGGAAGGCTGCATCTGGTAATAACGAGGAAGCCGTTATAGGACTGCTGATGACCATCACGAACCTCATAAAAATTGTAAATAAGCCGGAGATTCACCTGCGTTCCATTGCGCCGTTGATTGGCCTCGTATCGGACGTACCCGCTCGCAAGACTCTTCTGCAGCTGTACCGGACCATTGCTGAGAGATCTATGGAAGACCGTCGTGAGGAAATGATCCGGGATTGCGAAGTTCTGATTGAGCTTAATGCATGGGATCACAGATGGGTCGATCAACCGAACTTCCAAAAGAGACTGGACGCTTTTGAGTTGATCAGCGACAGAATTGGGAAGAATGCGATCACATTGGAATTTGGCGTGACTGTAATACACAATTGTTTTTACTTTTTGAAAACCGAATCGGATTTGGCGATGCGAGATTGCTCCGGCCAGTGCCTGAAGCTTGTCGGAGCGAAATTGGCAAGAGAACACCAAAATAATGTTCTGAACAGGCGTTACTTAATGGACGACACTATCTTGGCGCTTACGAGGAAGGGTATTACGAGCAAGAACGAAGCTGTTCGCCTTCAATCAATAGCGTTTTTAGGACACATGGCTCTGGAATGCGCGGACGTGCATCCCGTTTTACGAGACTTGTCCCTACTTGCCAATCGAGCCGACCCCGAAGTCGATTTCTTCGAGAACATGCAACATCTACAACTCTACAGAAGGGCTCGCGCCTTACTAAAATTCTGCACACTCGCTAAGACATTGCGAAAGCCATTTAGTCCTAAAACGTTGACGCAATTCATTCTTCCTCTCTGCTCATTGTATTTATGCAATGAGACTTTTATTCATAAGAACAGTCTCGTTGATGCTGCTATCGAGACTGTCGGAATAGTGTGCAGACTGTTACCGTGGCACCACTATGAAATTATTTTAAAATATTATTTAGGCAAATTAAGGAATTCCACAGAGTTCCAAAAGCAAGTCGTTAGGATAGTAGTAATAATATTAGACTCTTTCCATTACAATCTTTCAAAGTACAAACCAGCAGAAAAAATTACGCAAACCAAAGTGACAGGAACCGAAGACAACGCTGCTTTTATCACTGAAAAGAAAGAAACTAATGAAACGACCAAAGAAAATGAGAATCTTGAAAACACGGAAGAAGGAGATGAGGAAAAATTAGAGGAAGCATTAAATGACGACAACGTTGAAAATATTGAAGAAATAATAGAGAAGGATAAAGAAGCGATAAAGGAAGACTTGCCAATAATTGAAAGGCAAACGCTACTTTCTCAATATGGTGCAAAGAAAGTAGTGTTCAGTATATCGAACGGCTTGTTGCCTCATTTGCATCGATCCATCGTGGGGAGAACTCGGCAAGAGAGTAATCATAAAATCAACAAGAAGAAGATCGCTTCCGAGACAGAGGAGGATGATTTACTGAGAGTCCCCATTGCTCTCGCGTTTGTTAAGTTGCTGCAGAAAATGCCTGAGAATCTTTTGGATACAAATCTGCCAGGGTAAGTACGCCATAGCATTATAAAGATATTTTGCATTCTTTTATATGTTCGAAGATTATTTCGTTTACGTAACATATAATTTTTTCAATTTCTAATGCATTTTTTTAAGAATTTTTATGAAACTGTGTACATTCCTCAAATCACGTATGGAATCGGTTCGACGTGCGACTCGCGAGATACTACAGAAAATCATGATAACTTTAGGACCGAAGTACCTTCATTATCTTTTGAAGGAACTTAATACATTGTTAACGAAAGGTTTTCAAGTGCACGTTCTCGCATACACAGTACAGGCTATTTTATTCGCGCTGAAGCCTTATTACCAGAAAATGGATATTAATAATAATTTACAAAGCATTTTGTCTGTAAGTATTATTTCTGAAATATTTGACCGTACAAACTTTGCCAATATATTTTATTAATTGTATTATAAAAGTTATTGATATAATATAATTTGTATTATTTGTAATATCGTGTATCCCCCTAGCATACATCATATTACTTGATATTTAACTATAATTCTGTTTTTCTTTACTAATATTCAAGCAATATTAAATAATATTTGCATTCTCGACAACTTATTTGAATATTAGAAACATTTTTTAAGTCTGGAATCTTGAAAGAATACATTGACAGAACCTATGTTTATACATATAATGTATTCTCATGATAAGAATTAATGCAATATATTGATAAAATTTAATTAAACACTTAAAATTTGATTTAAATACTTTGTATATCTTCAAATAATTATCTTCAGGTGTGCAAAGTTGATTTATTTGGATTAACCGCGGAAGAAAAGGAGATAGCGGGTATTATAAAAAATGTATCGGAAGCAAAGAGTACTAAGAGCTTTGATATTTTCCATATCTTAGCGGAGTTTATAACAGAATCTTGTTTAGTAGACCTAATTTTGCCATTGAAAGAAGTATTAATAAAGACGCACTCGCATAAAACGATACATAAGATTATGGAATGCCTCCGAAACGTAACTCTGGGATTGGCGGATAATACTTATATACCCTTGGAACAAATGCTCATATTTCTTTACGGTATTATTTCGGAAAGCATACCAGACCTTATACCTGAAAAGAAAAGTAAAAAGCTTGCGGAAGATGAGCGAAGAATAGAAACGAAAACTTTGATGCAACGATCGAATTATTTTCTTATATCACTAGAACCTAAAAACAGGATGGGTATTAAAGTTACTGCAAAAACTACCAAACACGCCAACGTTCATGTAATGATAGAATTCGGCCTGAAATTGTATCATATATTGTTGAAACGGGACAAAGTCTCCGGAATGGAATACAAATGTTATCTAGAACCATTTGTGTCAGTTTTAAGTAATTGTTTAAAGTCTCATCATGTCAAGCTATGCACTGTAGCATTACAATGCTTAAATTGGATGCTAAAAATGGACCTAGAATCGATGCACGCATCGATATCGGACATCTGTGATTCCATGTTCGTCATTTTGCATAAGTACGCTGCTGCAGGATTAAGTAAAGGAGATAACTTCGATCTTGTAATGGCCACATTCAAATGTATGTCCGTGGTCGTTCGTGATGTAAAATACTTCAGCATTAATGCCGATCAGCTGAAGATTCTTATTTTATACGCGGAACAAGATTTACACGACAGCGATAAGCACGCTACCGCGTTTACCTTACTCAAGGCTATAATACATCGAAAAATGATTATCCCAGAAATGTACACTGTCATGGAGAAAGTAGCAATGCTGAGTATTACCTCGGAGCTAGAGCACGTTAAATTGCAATCACGTTCTTTGTTCTATTCTTATCTCATGGGTTATCCACTTGGCAAGCATTTGGACAAACATATATATTTCTATCTCACTCAGTTGAGTTACGAAATGCAACCGGGTCGGCTGAGCGCACTAGAAATGATTCATACCATTGTCACAGGATTCCCATTGAAGACGCTAACTGTAAGGTCTGAAATCATATTTGTAATGACTGGTGCAAGATTAATAGACGATGACGACCCAGCCTGCCGCAAACTTTGTGCAAAATGTATAAAGGAAATGCTTATGCGGATATCCTATAATGATAGAAATAAGCTATTTGACAAGTGGCCCCTTCAGTGGCTAAATGATTCCATAAGATACCGGACATTAGCGGCACAGTTATGCGGCATATTCGTGACTGTTGAAAAAAACGATTTCGATTCGCGATTACCTCAAGTTTTACCATTGTTATTAAAACAGTTTCACACAAATATTTCAACTTCTGACAATGCCGAATTCGGAAAATACATGGAATTAGATAATACGACAAACTTACAGAAAGATTCCAATTTAAAGGAAGAAAGAACAAAAGATCATCATTTAATTCAAGTGTTACAACTGCTATTAAAGATAGCACATTATACATCTTTCCTTACGGATGAAAAATACAAAGATTTCATTAACTCTTTTGCTGGTAAGTTAGTTTTTGTTAAAACATTGAAAAATCTTTTTTTTTTTTTTTTTTTTTTCAATAAATATTGTATCTTTATACTTTATTTTAGAATATAGTCAATCTTTGTTGGCACATCCACATTTATGGGTTCGATTAGCAGCAGCACAAATGATCGGTTTTATTTTGACTACTCTTGACGTTGATAAAATCGTGGAACTTATAAATAATCCAGATAATGATAAAATATATGAAGGTTACATGTATTCGAAGCCTGTTGAAACTGTAAAGAGTTTGATTCTGGATTTAGTGGCTCAACTTTATCCAGACATGACATTTGAACAGTTAGCAGATCAAGTTGTGAAAAATCTAATCTTTATCGCAAAGATGTTAAAATCAATTACAGGATCTGTTGCAAAAAATAAGGAAGATGATAGAAATAAAATGGAAAATAGCAATAACTTATCTTTTCTTTGGCTTATCAGGAGATTGAGAAAAGTTGTTAATATAGAAATAACGCAAGCTCCCAAATCAACATCAGTGGTAAGAAAAGTTGTAAGAACGTATTATGAATCTGAAATTGTCATATCAGAAAATAAACCACGAAAATAATATATTTTCAGAGAACTGCAATGTTTAAGTTTATTGCGGGTGTAGTAACTACAGTACCTATTGAATATCTGAACGCGATACTTTTTAATATTATGTCTCCATTGGTACGGGAGATGACTACGACAGAAGAAACGAACGCTGAATTACGTCAGCTTGCAAAAGAAGTAGCTACTATCATTAAAAAGTCCATAGGAAATGAAGAATATGTCAAGTTACTAAATCGAGTACAACAAAAGTTAGACATTAAGAAAGCAGAAAGAAGAAAAGTTCGTGCGCAACAGGTAAATTTATTTTTATCATTTTACATTTTTGTTAATTTTTGTACTATAGAATATTCAAATTTATAAACTTGTCGAACTTTGTTAATATATAAATGTTCAAAAAATTTGTATATACATAATTTTTTTTTATGTCAGTTTGTGACTGATCCTGAGCTAGCGGCTAAACGTAAACTAGCTAAACAACAAAAGAAGAAGGAGGCTAAAAAAAGAAAGCTAGACAGTTTGAAAGGAAACAAAACAGCAAAAAAACGTAAAAAGAAAGTAGATCTAGATGATTTATAATTATAATGTAATATAACTTAGATATATAAATAAAATTTTAATACAATTTACGTATACATGATTAATAAATATTTATATAAGCGACGTAATATGTATATAAATTAAATAGTTTATCAACTATTTATTTCTTTAAAAATTTATGAAAGTATATAAGCACTTGTAAATAAAAACGCAGTGATAATCCACAAACTTTCTGGTATCTTTAAAAATAATACTCGTAAAAGCCTAAAAAGCGTTACTTGTAAATAAATTTTATAAAGCATAATTTTTTTTGTAAATTTATACAAATAGTATGTGTATCTAAGGCTCTAAACACAATGCGAGGCAATAGCGATAGCGATAGTGATAAAGGAATTCAGGATTCGGAAATGCATATGTCAATGCATATAGAAATATATAATAAGGCTAATAATGATAAATTTCTGACGATTTGGAATTCTATCGCCTTACAATATTAATCAGCGTTCAAATTTTTCATTTTGCTTATATATGCTATAATTTTGAAGCAGATGGATGAATACTACAGTCTATATGCAATCAGATTGGCTAGCCTTTTATTTCTTTCGCAGCATTGTGCAACGGGAGGTGACAATTATATATCGTTTATTTCTATACTATTGCTGTTTTTGTCGTTTAGCATTGTGTCTAGGGCTTAAATATTACATAATAAAAAAATATATATCGCTTTTATAATTTATAATTTATTTTTATATACGAATGTATATATTTTTCAAGATAATATATGTACTAATACAGAAGATTCTTTTCCTTTTAAGATATGCAAAATACTGATAAAAATTTTTTCCTGAATTGTAACGAATAATGATGAAATATTATCGATTGAATTTTATATTGAAATCTATAATATCAAAACTGATCCACTTTCAATATATTATTCATTAAGATTTTATTAAAATTCATTAAAATTTCATTAAGATTTCATTATTATTCGTTTTAATATTTTATAAATAATTTAATACAAAATTGAAAATTATTGCAAATATTGTTATATTTAACTTCGCATTGATACAAAAATACAATGCATGTACCAGAATACATGCGAAAATCATGTGCAAATTTAATATGTTTGCAGATAATCTGAGCTTCGGTTACATAGATTTGGTTACACATAGAGAGCAGGATTAAATAGATCTAGATTTTTTCCATCCCAAGTTTTGAATTGGTATACACTGATGCAATAAGTTGAAGTGAAGCATGTATAGTTTGTTGCACTCTAATTTATTCCACTAGTTTAAAACTAATTCAGAATTCTTCACAAAAGACACACCTAATTTTATATGCGAGAACCGACATCATTTAATAACACTCCTAAAAAGATTAATTCAATGCTTTTCATTACATTGTTAATTGATTTCATTAAATCTCATTTTTTTAGCAAATTTCATTACAATCTTTCAATTATTACATAAATTGATAAAATGGCTCAATTTGAATAAATCAAATATAAAAATTAAGAAAAACTACAAGCCAGTTAACATTAATAACATTTAATACTCAAAACCAAAAATATAAGGAATACAAATGTTTCGACGCCGATCGAGTCATTCTTAATGTTAGAATAAATTAAAATAATAATGTTACAATAATTGTCGCGGATTCACATATAAAAATAATAATATTCTGTACTTCTTATCAATGTGGATATTGTCTGATATTGTCGACGTTTTTTTGCTTTGGTACCGCACTGTAGTTTATAAAATTATAATACCTAATTGATTGTATATATGTATACATACATATGTATACACATACATAAACAATTATTGTACATATACCTATTTTAATCTTATATCTATTTTTATTTTTAACCGAGAAAGAAATTGTTTTGTTAGAGAAAATTTACAAAATTTTTTTGATAATATGTCACAATTTAAAAACAATGCGTAAAATAAAGACCGCATGAATTAAAGTTGTAAAAATGATTTATGCAATTTTTACTATATTTACGTCTGCTTATTTTTTAATTATGCTTTTTACATGTTTTTTACTCTTACTTTCCTTTTACGCATAAATAAATAGATATACATTCCTAATTGTGATATATATACCTGAATTAAACTTATCTATCGACTATTTGCACATCAAAGAATATAGTTTTTTGGTTATCGTACTGGGTACATTTCCAGAACTTAAAATATTTATATTTGCAGTCATCATATTAATTATCAGAATCAAATATTCCGAATGTTTTATAAACGATATAGATATGCATATTACATTAACATATTTATAGTAGACATGTACTCGTATATTACATTATGTAGACATGTATATTACATTATTAACAAATGTATCAGATATTATAAGTGTCTGGTATATACATTTATAATTAATATTTAATACTATTTTCTTTTAATTTAATATTAAATGTATATCTATACAAAATAAATATGTCTCAAATGTTAATTGATATATTGTAAAGAGAGAAAGGTTCATTATCAAAGAAGATTTACCGTATCAATTTGTTACAGAATATATAGAATATGCAAAGTTTTCAATTCTTATAATTAATATGATGACTATTTGTGTTTTCGAACATATTTCATACTGCGCATGTTGACCAAAAAACTATAACGTTCTATCTATTTTATAGATAATCCGTTAATTATACTTTTTTGAATTTGAGACATGCAAAGGATGCATATTCATGCTTATGAAAAGCAAGCAAAAGTAAAAAACAATGCGTTGTAAAAAAGCGTAATTAAAAAATAAGTAGGCATAATGTCTATGCAATAAAAATTGCGTAAATTATTGTACGCTTCACGTCGTTCTCTATAATCTTTTCTTGAATATTATTATTGTTATGGAAAATCTATATATTTCTTATCGTTTAATCTTACGAAGAACGTAGAAAAGATTCTGTAAAGAATTTATTTTGCTTTCCTTCAGAATGGTATTTTTGATGCAATATCAAAACGAATAAGAATTATGCGTAGAAAAATATATATATATAGTATAGCAAAGCATATTAAATATACAGCATTAAGAAAACATGTTGAAACGACAA